AAAAATATCAAAAATTATTATATTACTAAAAAAATACGAAATTTCAAAATTAAACTTAATTTTCTCGATTATTTATATTTATATCTATATAAGCATCATTAAGTCATCCCTTAGTATTAATACTAAATACTACATTGACATAGAAACATACATACATACTTACTTTATTTGTGCATTTCACGCGTATTTCGTCTGTATGTAAATATTTGTAAAATCCTTAATTAATTTTAGACTGCAATTTGTGCCAATGATTTTTCTAATTATGTAACATTTTCATTTTGTAAAATAATCTATAAAAATGCAACAGTCGATTTAAGTTTCAAAACGCATACAATCATACTTACTTAAAATAATAAAAAAAAAAACAATTTAATTCCTTATTTCATATAAACCCTTCACGTCTTAGTATCAACAATAATTTCGTTAAAATATTAAATCAAATTTAAATCGTAAAATATAATCACCAACAATGAAACGAAAAAAGGCATAAATAGACTTAGAACAAACATAAAGTTTAATAAATATTGCGCTGAGCTAACAATTAATATAACATATTTATATAATTGATCATGACATGACACAACAATTAAATAACAATGAAATAGAGAACGAGTTATGAGTGTAACTGTCACAATTACATAAGAAAAGAATCCATTAATGATTTTCATAATAACAACAGGAGTGAAAACTCACAATCTTCTTAAGATTCCAAAAAATAGCCTGTAAAATGAAATTTGAAAAATGAATGAACAAATAAACTGAAAGGAGTGATATGTAACGCACAAAGTCGTACAAAAAGAAAAATAAAAAATTACAGCGGCTAAAAATGCTTAGCAGAATAAGTGATAATGGAGTGATGGGCGAGAACTTAAATTAACTATGACGTTTGAAATGGTAAGCTCATAAACAGTTTRTACTATAAAATAACCTTAAATAATATACCCTAAATTCATATATATGTATATATGTATATATGGCAATAAGAAATTATAAATTAATAATAACATATTTTGTTTCTAACTGAATATATTTTTTAACATAGTCTTTGTAATGTATACTAACTCATAACTAATCGAAAGCTTTCTGAAGCTTATTTTGAGCTCTTTCATGTCGTTATGACATTTCGTACTTACCAACTCCTGGAAATGGTGGCATTCCAGTGAAGGCATGCTGTAAGGCGGCAGCATCACCATTAGGCAGACCTTGTGGTGGAATTGTTAAATGGAGTGGATCTGTGAGGAAAGAGTAAAATAAGTTAAAGTCAGAGTGGTTATATGGGAAAAGAGTGAAATAACTCAAAAATGAGTGAAAAAGAGTTTAAGTCGGAAAAAAAGTGTATGCTAACAAATATTTGCAGTAATGATATTAATTTATTAAAGTAAATTAAAAAAGAAATATTACTCTAYGAATATTTTTGGCGACCTCTTAAAAACCTTACTTTAATGTAAAAAAGTCGCACATGTTTTAAAGCTTTTTAAATAAGTCTCAGTTTTATGCTCTTTTGCCTTCATTGGTCTCTTAAAAAGCTTATTGTAGTCAAAGTCTCATAATATTACATTCGCAAAGAGGAGAAATATGTTTAAAYACGAAAGCTTGAGTGCAAATAGTAAAATTAATCCTCTCTTCATAATTTAGTGTTATTTGGAAAGCTCAAAGCGCAGTGAAAGCAAAAAAGTATGTTAGCTAATGTTTTTAGAAAAAGCTGAAAGCTCAGAGAAAGCATAAAATGATGCTAGCGCTATTTTAGAGATCTAAGTCAGCTCGAAAACTTTATAAAAAGATACGACATCATTGAAATGACATTTAGAAATTCATTTAGAAAAAGCTCAGTGAAAGCACAGAAGTATGAAGCTCAAGTTGCCCATAACTTCATAATTTAATATTATTTGGAAAGTAAAAACTTATGATAGCTCTAGTTTACAGGTTAAGTAAGCGTGAAAGGTACTACTTTATGTGCTTTATCAATCAAAATACAAAAGCGATAATAAATAACTACATGTATAGATATGTATATATTTCCAATTTTTTATGCACTTTAAGTGAATTCTTACTTTTTTTTTATCAAAAAATTAATTTTAAAATCGTTTCTATAGCCCATATTCTCTCTCATTGCCTTTATTAACCCATCGCTCTGGTAGTTTATTTATATACTTTTAAGCATCTTCAAGCAAATATTTGATTGTACTGATATAATATCTGTATGTACATATGTTTGTATGTATGCTCTAGTGCTTTATGAACTTATATGCGTTACTTACGTCCCGGGAATGCCGTTTGCGGAATGCCATTCGTAAAGACGCCATCAGCGGCGGCGGCGGCTGCTGCGGCCGCTGCAGCAGCGGGTTGTCCATTTGGCGTTTGAGCGCCCATATTGAAATTGGGCATGGTCGGTGAGGGCAGCGATGGTTGACCGGTGCCATTTAAGCCATGAGGTATTTGCGTTGCCAACGCGGCCATCGGATTCATATACGAGCCGGGTGCAGTGGCAGCGGCGGCCATTAAAGCAGCTTGTTGTTGCTATAGTTGTAATAAAAAAGGCGAAGAAGAAGTTATATAAAAGGTCCGTTAGCAAAAAAGGAAAAACAAAAGTAAACAACTATAAATGAAATGAGTGAATGGATGAGAAACGGGAATGCTAAAGTATACAGATGATGAAGTTGTRCGCATAAATAAGGCAAGGATTTGGCGGTCACGGGTAAGAGAGAGAGCGAGGGCATCGCGTTAATGTGCAGCGCACGGCGGAAGTGGTTAGTGGTATGTGAAAGTGTGACGAAAGCGGGGCCAAGGGAAGTGGTGGTGACGTTGAGCGTGATGCATTCACGGTAACGAGGCTGCGCGTTGCTGGTAGTTGCACTTAAATTGGTTTTGCAACAAAAGTAGCAATAAAAATGCACAATTTACGATGCACAACGTGCAAGGAGGCAGCGTGGCACGCTGCTGGGTGTGGCTACTAAAAGCGCAGCGTAGTGCATGTACGGCGCTRCCGACCAACGTCAACACCAGTGTCGCCGTTATTTAATGCACTTTACGTGACGCTGATTTGCACTGCAGTTGCTCTTGTTGTTGTAGCCATTATTGAACGGTTTTTGCATTTTTTTCGTTTGTGCACCCACAGCCTGCACGGTTGCGTGTGTGTGTGCATGTTGGTTGCAATAAAATGGAGCGCTTTTTGTTTTGACATTTTATGCGCAACCAAAGGCAGGCAAGCAAAAAGAAAGTGCCTTTAACAATAAAAGTAAGTGCAAAACAATGCGCACAAAAACAACGCAACCGAAATCAATTACGCTGCATTGTATTTTGCAAAGATTTTTTATTGCCGCATAACTTTTGGCTGTTTTTTCACTCTCGTTCTGGCGTTTTTATGTTTTTATTTACGCAACTCTTTTGCATTATCTCCATGGTGTGCGCTGCATGTTTGCATACTTTATATTGTTGTTGTTTAATCATTATTGCATTGGGCTTATTGGCTTGGTTCATGAGTGTACGTGTGCGTATGGGTGTGTGTATGCATGCATGTGTACTTACCTGCGCGTAAGCTCCATATGGTCCAAATTGATTAAAGACAAAGGGATTAAGTAAATTCATATGACCCGCCATTTGTTGCATACGTCGTATCTGTCGCTCTTTCTCAGTATCGGCAAATTTCACAACAAGACTGGAGGAAGCACCCTGTGGCGCATGTTGACATGTAAATAAAATGAAAGCAGAGAAAACAAGAGCAAAGATTAAAAATGTGAAGCGTGCGCTTATATAACACATATCGATAGTTAAAGCGCACAMATACCGCCGCAAATATTCATCAGTATGAAGGCTGAAAATCATATAATGTGGTATTATGTAAAAATTATAAAAGGAAATAAATAAAAGGCACTCTTAAGTCGATTTCGAGCCGATTAAAGTGCGGGTGGTGGCAGCTGCTGCAAGGCATACCCGCTGATTACTGACGGAAGTTGATTGATGGCAGCACGGTTTTAATCTATTGTGTTTTAAAGCGTAACGACTTGGTGTAATGAAATTTTTGATAAAGCTGTAAGGATTTAATGAAAACTAACAATCTTTATAAACGTCAACATTAGTTAGTGTTTTTGAAAATTTTGTTAGGTGAAGCTTTCGTACTAAAAAGCTTTTTTGAAAGTGATGAGCTTTAATGTTTCACTACTCGTCACTATTAMAAAAAAATCTTTACTGTAACAACTTTTTCAAAGCTTAAAGAGCTTTTTATTATAGAGTTATAAATCGAAAAAGCTAAAATGGGCTTTTTATTACAGAGTTATAAATCACAGCAATAAGAAATTTTTAATGGTTCACGTTTAAAAAGCTTTCGTGTTTCAACACTCGTCACAATTACAGAAAAATCATTATCTTACCACCTCTTCCAAAGCTTAACCGAGCTTTTCATTTAAAAGTTATAAATCATAGCAATAAATATTTTTAATGATTCTCGTTTCAAAAGGTTACATTGAGCTCTGGCAAATATCAGCATTATATGTGACCTGGTCTACGGAARGGGGGCTTAGGTGTCAAAAAATCGAAAAAATCAATTTTCACTTTTTAGTTGATTCGGRTGGAAGATGAGATTTTTAACATWAATTTTTTTAAATTTTTTTTTCGCACGTTAGACCAGGTCACATATATAGATTTTTATTGAATTTTTGCTTTTAAAATATTTTGGAAACAAATTTTCAACAGTGAATGATAGTTTTGAGGATTGTGTTTCACTGATTTAGAAATATTGCAAAGCTTTTTAAAAGCTTCATAATAAAGATTTATATGCATATATATGCATTTGTAGATCTCAAATGAGAGCTTTTGTAAACTGTTTTCATTAATTAATTGAGTAAATTTCCAAAGATTTTTAAAAGCTTCACAATAAAGTTTAAGTTAAAAAACAAATTTAAGCTTAAAGCTTACTATTTTTCACTGCGGTTAAATACTAAATTAATCACCTACCAGTCCTATACAACACTGCGTGGCGAATGCGTGGGCTTACCTGCAGAGCATTAAATAAAAATAACACGAAATCATAGCAACTTAATATCATTGTCACATTGATTAATGCGTATTGTAAAATCCTTTGGCAACACAATAGCCTCTTTTAATTACAACGCAACACTGAAATGAAAACAACAACAACAAACCTTATATGAGCCAGCTATGACGCATGTGACAGTTATGTCAGTAAATTGAATCGCATAATTATAACTGAAATGCAGACGTGCAAGCACACACATACCCACATAGTTCCACATATGGGTGCTTGCGTGTAGTGTGCAAAAAGGCGCTGCTGCAAAATTTGCTATTGATTTGCAAAAATTTCTTTAGGGACGAGTTACAATTACGCTGAGTTTCGTGGCCGGGTATGAGTGTATATGTGCCAGCGGGTGTGAGTTTTGAGTTGCAACATGCGCCGTGCGCTATGCTATTATTATGCTAATTAATAGACAACAGTAATGTGTGAGGCAGGGTTGACGAGCAACGCATACGAAAGCGTAGACGTGTGTGTTTGTGTATATTGAATTGCCAGAGGAACGGTCTGACTATCGAGCATACACACTGCTAACGAAGGCAAACTGAAGACATTCACTTCGTAATCATTTATATCTATTCGATTTCAAAGTGGCAACAAGCAGGCAACGGCTGAAATAGAAGTGAGGCTGAAATAGAAGTGAGCAACACTACAACTGCTGGTCACAGCWTGAGAAAGTGTCTGTGTGGGAGTCGTTACAATAATTGCCACACATTTGTGTTTGCATGTCTTTATACACATATACTATATGTGCTGGCTCATATAAGGTGTGGTGTGTGACTGCTACACATGCTTACACATAAATAAGCGGCTTACAAATATGAAATACAAAAGCACTCAGTATGCAATTATTTTGATATTTACTTAAAAATAAATAATAATATTTCATGCTGCCACACCCAGCTGCAGCAATGTCACTACTGGCAACGTCTGTAAGTTTGTAATTTTYCATGCCTGCGTGTGTGTGTTGGCATGATTATAAGCGAGAATAAATATACCTCCATGTATAACATATGCACTCAGACTCACATATGTACATGTACATATGTGTGAGCTCTTATAAGCACACATGTCCGTATGAGTGATACAAGCACAACGTGCCCAAACATTTTCTTATTTGCTTTGTATGGTACACTTCAAGGCGTACCCACGCATTGACGAATGTTCATTCACAAAAAAAAAAAAAAAAAATATGGAATAAAATAAAATTGTTGGAAAATATACTTACATACATAAGTGCTACATAAATGCCTTTTCAAATACATATGCTCACCATTTCACTTGTCATCCACTATTTATTTATGCTCTTCGCTAGGTAAAAGAAAATTATAAGCGGATTTAATGCTTGCTTTTCAAATAACAATAAAGTACCGTACTTGTGTCATAATATATACATATTTGTATGTGTGCACAGCTTAGTTAGTTTTTATAGAAAAAATATTCCTTTGAAGTTATGGTAGCGTGAAAGCTTATGCACACATGATTTCAGCTTTTAAAATTAAGATTTAAGAACTTCATATTTGCTTTAAATATGCTTTAAAAATGTTTGGCAATTTATGAAAATGTAGGGTAAATGTAATGTAAGCTTGGATGTACATAGTTCAATGACGGTCATCTACGAATTCATATACTTTTTTTTGTACTTAGGAACCCGCATACCAATTGTCATCATTTTATTTAAATTTTTACTCAAGTTACAGCTTGCACGAACGTACGGACAGCCACCTGGATTTCAATTCATCTAGTAATCCTGATCATTTATTTATATATAACTCTACATATAGTATCTATCCCGATTAGTTTTAGGTGATACGTACAATTGTTAGGTGAAAAAAAACTATTATGCTCTTTAGCAACATGTTGCAAAAGTATAAAAACAAAGCAGTTACCCTTTATGGGCATTGATGTTAACAAACTATTTAGAATTGCTGTTAAAATCGCGGACAAACAACAATACAATGTAACTTGTTCGGTTTATGTTACTGCAAACTCGTCGTATATATTAGCGCATGCAAACGGAGTTGCTGTCTCGTCAACACAAAACAGGAGAGGAGCACTGCAGAAAATTATATGWAAGTGCAGCCGAATGACCGAATGATATTCATGTTCGTTAACATTCTCTGTATATGATAGTCGTGTGTCGGTAAGTGCGGGTCGGTACGTGATCGCGATCAAAGTTTGTGAAAAAAATAATAAATTCATCATTTAGTGAAGTTTTTGAGTTTTATTTAAAAATTATTCGAATTTGTTAATGTAAAGTGATAAGTGCGTGTGTTAATACATTGAAGTGAAAGTGTGTCAATGCAATATAGCAAAGCAGTGCACAATGTGTTGGTTTGGCAAACATGTTCCTGCATGCTCATGTGAAAAATGTGGGGCTTCTCGAAGATTCTGCACGTAATGAATGAAGCAGATATATAGTAGTAAATCTAAGTTCAGTGAGAAATTAATCATTCGTAAATCATTAATCGTAGCGTTTAAAATATCCGTCGTATGTTTAATTTAAAAAAATTAAATATGTACATATGTGCAGGCAATAAAAGATAAGGGTGAGTACGTATACATAAGTATATACATTTACATACATCCATTTTACATTAAACTGTTTATAGTTATATGCATGTTATATATGTATGTAAAAATACATATTGTTATTTGCATAATTGTATGAACAAGTGCATATAATTTAAGAAGCAATATATGACGATTTTATGAATTTTAACATTTTTTAACAGACCAAATTTTGTAGAAAATATTATGCTACTAATCTATTTTATATATTAAACGATATCTTCTTGGTATATAAAAAAGGAGCGGAAATTCTCATGTTAGGTTTTGGTCTGGAATTTTTTTTTTAACAAAAATAGGCTAGCCATTCATGAAGTCCCCCTCTCTGTTTGTTTATACATATTTATTTTTTAAATAAAACCTTGAGTCCGCAACAGTAATTCTTTATATTTTCGTACCCATTGATTTTATAACGTTATTGCGTCAACTATTTGCGCAACTTTTACATAAAAAGAAATTTATTCAATTACAAAACGATTTAATCGCATGCAACTTAAAAATAGTAAAACAACTTGGTAACAACAACGCAACAACGTAAACATCAAAGAGGTGATAAATCACACTTTGCAACATTTACGCCTATTTCCAGCACCGCTGATTGCATGTTACACACAACGCGCTGCTTTGCAATATAAGTGTGTAGGTGTGTTTGCTATATTCTTGTGTGGCGCCTGCCGTTATGCTTACATTTTTTCGTCGGCAATTATTTACCCTCATGTGTAACTTTATATGACGAAGGCTGACATTTCTGCCCTTATACCTGTTAACTGCCAGACGAAAGCGCGTCGCTAAGCATGCTTGCAACTGCAACACCTTCATCGTTTTTAATTACGTCATACAAGTAGTCGTGGCAGTGTTTGTGTTTGGCTATGCATGCATGTTGCTGCTATGTTTATCGCAAATGCGCGTCACATTTTCTGTGACAAAGAGCAACAGTCACGAATTTCATACCAGGCACCTAGGTGCCGCCGTAGCAGCACCACAGGCGGTAGTCATCAAATAAACCGGTCAACTGCCTGCTTATTGCCGGTTCGTTTTAGCTTGAGTTGACGTGTACACGCCGTTTTGTATGCTT